CGATCCTTGAAGATCGTTCAGCACTACATTACTGTTGTGCTTTTGGTATTTTAGTTCTTTCAATTCGGCATTTTTCTTGTTGGTTGGTTTCAGTATTTCTAACTTGAATACTGCTGAATCACCATTCCAGTATTCCTCACTTGAATACTGTTGAATCACCCTTAGGATATGTGGCCTGCTTTTTCAATTTGTATTTTGACGTTATATCTGTGATATGCAGGCTTCATAACCTCAGATCCCCTTTCAAAATTGCATTTTATTTAGCTCCGCCCATTGTTTTCTCGTTTAGAGCACATGCATTTTTTACTTGGGGACCATATGCCGCTTAAAATGGAATGGCACTTACGTGTCACATTGAAAGTTCTATGTTAACCGTCGTATGAAAGCATCTGTTGATGTTTCAAAATTCAAAATTCAAAATTGTACCAGTTCATGTTAAATGTTGAATTCTACTTACTCCGGTGCTAGGGGGCGTGAACGGTAACTTGCACTTTCCATTACCATCCATGAACAGGCTCATTCAAACCGAACCTGCAAAACTTTCAATTTTGTCTTTATTGGGCTTTCTTTAGGGATTCTTTATCTCATTTTTTTCGGATTATCTCATATGTGGAAGCTATCAAGCTAGTATTCTCAGAAGCCCATTTGTACATAAAATAATGGACCGAGGGGCACATGAGGCCTCCATCAAACAGTAAAGATGTTTGACCTTAAAGAGTTGTGATCTGAATAATGAATGCAAATTCATATTATATCAACAATACCTATAAATAAGCAGAAGTATTATTTCTTAATATCTTTCGTACTCTGTATAAAATATCTAATTTTTACTTAATAATCTAAAATGTTTAACTGGTAAAGAGAAAAAAATGCCATTTTTAAAAATTGTCATTTTCATGAATATTGATTTATGCAGAAGATATTTGAGAAAAACTGAATTATTTAACATTTGCAGTCATGCTGATTTAGGTTTTGATCATGAATTAAAGATAAACCTTTCAAAATATAGATGCATACAGCCATTTAGGGAAAGATTTAGTTTTTTCTGCTGAAATTAACTTAAGTTATTAAAAATAGCTATAAATACATATAACATGTAAATTAAATTTTATGAAATTATTATAAAACACATCTACTTTTATAAAGCAATTCTATTAAAAACTCTCTAAAAAAACTGTTTTCGGCTGTGTTAAATACTTACAAAAAGTAATATCTAGTTTAGTTTTACTTTGACAATATATGTAGTTTTACTTTTATATAGCGGTATAATGATTTATACTAACATTTTGCAAATTTAAATTAACAATGAACGCCATCATTTCATTATGCTGTTTTTTAACCAGCCGCCCGCATAAAGCATATTTAAAAAAGCAATACCGGTATCAGCACGAGGTCCGTGTTTTTTAAAAAAGTTAATGTATACCAGCGTGTGCAGTTTTTATGCAAGGATAGTTCGTATTAAATTAGAAAATATACATCATTATTGTAAAATGTTCACTTGTGCAATGGAAGTAAACATATTTGTTTCTTACGCTTAATTGTGATAAAACTGGAATTTTAATTCGTTAATAGAAAAAAAAACATCTGTTTTATCTACTTCAGTAAAATACAGGCATATACATGTATCTTATAAAATGTTTTAATGAAAGTGTCTAGTCTATAAGAGTTTGCTCCGATTAAAGTTACTAGTTTATTATGAACTATAGTTAACATAATCAGTTGCTGTTGGTGATATCTGCTGACTTGTAGTTATCTGACTGTATAGTCTCTCGTCACGTGATTTCAAATCCTCGTAAGTAACAGGAGAGTCACTCTCATGTGTGTTGTCTGTACAAAATAAATGCATAGTCATAATAATGAATAGAGCATCTTATTATAACATTTGGTGAGAGGTGGGGGGTGTCCGCTCCGTCCTATCTTAGGAACTTGTAGAGATATTATGTATATGGAAATTATTTCTTTAATTACTTATGTGTTCCAAGTAGCAAGGACACATAAAGAGATTAAATATTGCTCGAGAAATAGGCTTAGTAAAATGATAATGACATCAAAATGCTTATGTATAATCAGTTAAATTTCTAACACCAGGTATGCAATAATTTATTATTTATTTTCTCATGTAAATGCGTGCATCTATAAATATGCATGTTTGAACTAAGGAGCTTTGATTTAAGATTTTAACTTAAACAACGATATGCATCAAATGATATAAGATCAATTAAAACATTCCTATCTTGATATGAAAAAGATGGCGTTAATGAAAAGAATGTTAAGAGAATTACCGTTAGAACGATTTCCACAAGGTCCTCTTGTGTTTACATATCCGTGTACATCTAATTGTTTAGTTTGTATATTCCTAAAAATATTGAAGGAAATGTACATTCTTAACTAAATTTCATTTAGTTATATTTAGCAGTCCATTTTACCAGGTATTCGTTACCTTAAATCCAGATTTTAGATATATTACATTAGGTGTATGTACAGATGTATGAACTATTCCCTATATCTTCTTATCTGAGATAGTTAAAATAAAACACGACACTATTTATTATCAAACTTTGTAAATAATAAAGTTACAGACCTCCGCCTCCTTATAATGATGGTAATCAAAGAGGCAATTCCAACAACAATACCACCAGCTAGAAATGTCCCTATTGTAGATCCTATCAGTGTACTTCTAGTATAATATCCCTCTAAATCCGGTATAACTAATGAAAAAGAATATTTATAATTTACATATTTGTCGAAAATTGTAACTGTTTTTGTAGCTTTTTGAAAATGAGTCTTTAAATAAACAAGTAATTAGATGTGTAGCCAATTGTTAAAAAAAACTAAAGGTTTACTTCTTCTATACGATATTATATTCACAAGGAGTAAAAAATTAAATAATTTCTTCAAATGAACACAAGAACAATAGCCTTTTGTCAACAGTTATATTGTTTTAAATATTGTTTGTTGGGATAGCATTTTATGGAATTGCAATTGTTTTGCAAGACTGACTTACCTTCAGCACATTTAGGCCCTTTAAATCCATCTATACAGCCATATAAACATTCCGCTGTTGTTTGGCTGCAGGTTGCATTTACGCAAAGGCTACTGCATATGTTGTCACATCTTTTGCCATGAAAACCATTTTTACATCCTAATAAACAATGACCTTTTATACCATCACATCTACGTTGGCGGGTATGAGATATGCATGAAGTAGAACATGCATTATCACAAAACAATCCGTAATAATTATTGTCACATCCTTCTAAACAATGTCCCGTTTTCAAGTCACAGCTTTTATTGTTACAAGTATCACTACATTGTTTCTCACAATATTCACCATATTTTAGAACCGAGTTGCATCCGTGTATACACCTCCCTGTATCTGTTGCACAAACGCGGTATTTGTCTGTCATATTGCAATTTTGACCATCGGAAACTGAACAGGTTCCATTACAACTCGATGGACATGCATTCGCACATGTTTCCCCGTAAAAACCCGAGTTACATTCGGTGCAACTTGTTTCTGATAAACAAGAAAAACAATTGTTGGTGCAGTTTCGATCACAAAAAGGTCCGAATAATCCAGGTGAGCATTTGTCACATTTATCTCCGAAAAAACCAGATTTGCACCCTTTAGTACATTTTCCACTGCCTTTATTGCATCCTCCATCATCGCAACCAACCGGACATCTATACTGACAATATGATCCGTAAAAAGCAGTGTTTTTACACCATGAACATTCTGTTTCTGATGTACAGGAGCCACAGTTACTAGGACATGTATTGTTACATTCATCACCATACTTACCACCTGAACAAGCATCACATTTATCTTTGATAAAATTAGTCGACTTACAAGGGCATTCCCCTAACAGTAACGAACATGTATTGTTGAGACAACCTTTCCCACATTGTAAATTACAATTGTTGGTATAATAACCAGGTTTACATTCCGTGCATTCATTGCCATTCACACATGTTTTACAATTATCCAGACACTGTTCAGTGCATTTCGCACCATAATAACCTGCATGACATCCGTATATACAGTTCGTATTACTATCACAAAAGTTGCGTCCATTGTAACAGCATTCACACTCTGCACAAGCTTGCAGTGATAATCCTACAATGCAAAATTATTTTCTGTAGTCGAACAATTTGAAGCGTTCGTTGCACAAATTGTACTTTTTATGAAACACACCGCGATTCAATAATAATTTATGTTTATTATTAAGATAAAAATTTTAAGAATTTTTTTCTGTGGCAAATATTAAACTGTTATTAATTCTTATTATTTTCCCATTATGTTGCTTGAAAATTATGTTCTTTTGTTTTGGTTACAATGCAGATCAAAAATAAGTAAAACTTACCAAATTGAATGTTTATTAATGAAAGAAGAAACACTGGTACCAGTTTCGTCATTGTATCAGCTTTTGTGCCTTCAAATATATAACAATATTTCAAAGTTATGAATTTTAATTTTGTTAACCATCTTAAGGTTTAAGATTGTTAGAAATTTGAACGAATCTCATTGTTATTTGATAGTGAAACATAAATTATGCCGTAGTTAACTAGACTCACTTAATACTTTTCAACATGTTACATTAAGAAAAGTAAACACACCTTCAAATTGTACTGCACATAAGTAAGTTACAGTGACTAGTGATTTCGTTACAAGTTCCCTTTGCTTGTATCAATTTTAGCCAACTTTCGGCTTGTCAAAATTGTTTCAATTACCATCTATTAGTGTTATCTTAAATAGCACCTATCAATGTATTCTGTGCTGGCACCATTTTCTGTTGTCTCATCCTGTGATCGTTTTATCAGCTACTTTTCATTTTGTTTAAAACAACCAGAACATATTCAACTTTACGAAATAAAATGTATTATTTCATATAATTGGATTTAAAGCAACAACAACAACAGCAGCAACAACAAAAAAACATCAGAAATGACCATCAAATACTTTTCAAAGAGAATAATCATATCTCCAATCGAATCTTTACGTTATACCGATCAACATTTTAATTTATGCATTGCATAAAAAATTCACGTATAATAACATGCGAAAAAACAACATATTAGTTACCTGACCGAATTCAAACATTTTTCGTTGAAATATGACTTACTATTTTACGATTTCTCAAACAAATTCGTGAACAGTTATAAATTAAACAATTGTTATTAAATATGCCACATAAACTTCAATGTAAAAAGGATAACACTAGACAGTATTCAACGTATTAAAATATTTAAGTAAAATAAAAAAAAATCGACAAAAGTATACCTGTGAAATTAATGTAAGATCTGGATGTGTTAAGCTCTTTACAAATTTTACTTGTAATGAATATTCGTTTGTAAGATCATTAAAACTTCCTTAATAGTTCATGCGGAAAGTAGTCCCTCGGATGTTTTTGTTCACCAGTAAAGTTGGAAGGTCACTGTAATACCTTTACAATGTTTGTGCTACGTTAAACCAAACAAAGTAGAGTGGCATTGACATAACAAAGGGGCATTTACGGGTATAATATAATAATTATATTAGAAATAGTTGTATTTAAAGTGGATAATTTGTCATTTATCATTCAGTTATAAGGAAAATGAGAAAAAAGATGATAGATCAGCTTAACATGATGCATCATGTGATTTTGTGAAGATATGTTTAATAATGTTTACGCCTTAAATATTTGTCTTGTAAAATCGGTAAAAACTATACTGTTTTATTTAAATAAAGGCTTGTTTCCTGGGCAAAGAATTTTTCAATTTCTTTTTAAATATATATTTAGTATAAAAGCATTATAAAAACACGTTTTAAAGTCATGTGACGCATTTCATCTTTATATTGTTGGTTTGCGTTATTTTCGAGTGATTTTCTTTATATTTATAGTTCTGTACAATAACATACTTTTGAATTTTTGCTACTCTATTGACCAGCCATTTTACATTCATTGCTACTTTCTTAAAGTGATAAGCAGTTAACACATTTCATGATTTTTTCCATAAGATATTAAAACTGTTGATCTCGAAGGGCCACAAACTTACATAATACCACTAGCTTAACAGGCATTCAAGGAAAAGTTGTATCTTATTGATAAGACTAAAAATCATTCTTGTGGTTAATATTTTCCTCCATACGAACCTATCCGCGTCGTTTACTTTGTTTCGCCTCAACAATTTCTAAATATTCGTTTTACTATAATACGTTTTACTTTTAGGTGTTTTATATTGATGTAGAATAATCATGTACTAGTATATGAAATACAAAGATACGCTACGCGCTTGAATAAACGAGGAAGATTAATGTGTTACTTTTCAAAACTATCCATATGGACAATAGTTTACTGCAGGTACCATTATGAAATTGAAATGGATATCACTTGAATATACAGTCACTAAAAAGGTATTTGACTTTTAAAACTTTCAAATTTTACAAAAGTAAATGATATATCTTTGCTGAATGTTTTAAACTAATGATACCATACTTAAACCGTTCTGCAGTGCACACATCTAACAATTTGAATAGTTTTATCTTTGAAATTTTCTCTTTTTCAAACTTTCGGAATAACAAGGGGTGTGTTTGTATTCTTTCAAACATATATTAAGTTACCTACTTAACATTTGAATGGTTTTAAAACATACAGATAATAAGAATGATATAGATTAGTTGTCTACTTTATACCATTCGTTTAAATAGACATTAAATATATGTACATGTGTAAATTTAATTCAAAAATATTGAATCGTTCTTCTGCTATTTCATTTCTGTTGTAATCGTTTAAGCTATAGTTTCTTATTATCTTATAACTCATTTAAAGCAGCACGCCTACAGATGCATGCTAATTTTATGAAAATTTTGAAAATGTGTTTTGAAGTATAATTTAGTGCAATAACCAAAAGGAAACAATTTACAAATTACCCATGGCAATAATAGCCCACGTAAATTAAGAAAAAGAGGACAGAATATGCAAAAGTTTCCCTTACTGTGTTAGTAACGCAGAAGAAATATAGTTATAAATACTGAAATATCAGTCACTAATCGCACATAACATTAAAGTTATGAATATTTTTACTTTTCCTAAAATCTTAGTACAAGTGTCTCAAATTTGACTTTTTCGCTCATCTGGGGGCTTGCAGCTTCAATACAAAAATATTAATTGTTAATTATTTTTTGTCATGATATATACCCGGTAGAGACATATTTGGTCTATTCTTAAGCGTGGCTTTAAATAAGAGACGATCTTACATTCTTTTGGAAGAGTACACAACTGTTAAAGATATACTATGCTCCTTCTTTAGTAAACTATTTTTGTCATAGAAATTTATTGAAATCTATGAAATGTTTACTAAACATGTCTAATTTGGTTAAAATAATGAATAAATGAATGGGAAGCTGCGTGCCTTATCTCAGTAAAGTTGGTCTTTTCTTAAAAGACTGCCAGTTATTTTTAATGACACAATATACAAAAATGTATTTCCATTATGACCACCTATAGTGTGTAGAATTTAAAACATAACATATCTACGTTGTATCAATTCAAAACATGTTTATTTTATATTTATAATGAGACTGGGTATCCATTGTCAATATTTTCTAATATCAAATTTGAGCAAAGTATATATTTAAACTGTTCTGGTCGGGTGTTAGTATAAAATCATCAACTGTGTACAGTATTGCATTTTACAATCAAAATGACCTTCATTTCACACAATATGAAAGAACTTTAGTTGGTCTATGTATGGATTTCATAAAGATTTTGTTTAAGATTTGAAAAATGAAAACGAGGCTATACCGATTATAAGTAACAAAATATAGTTTTGGAGTTATAGATATTATATAGATGTTTTGGTCTTCAGAAATGAAAACGAGGCTCAATTGATTAGGTTATGTCATATAATGAATAATATCGTAGCATCATTCGCTGCAAACGTTGAAAGTTTATTGGTTGAAACGAGCGGAATTTATCGCAATATGTTCTGTCTGCGCTTTCAGACATCAAACGCTGCCCCAATATGGGAAAATATAATATATTTCTTTTCATCTATTGTTGAGTTTTATGTATTTGATTTATAGTCTTTACATAAAATATACAGATATATTGAAAGGCTTCCAAATATTTTGAATCAAATTATAAATATTGAAGGAGGTTTAATTACTAGTTTTTATTCAAAATATTTTGTATCAAGTTATAAAACTATTATACTAGTGTACAATTACAACACTCGAGCTCCTTTCAATTTTTCATTTTGTCAACCTGTTTCCTTAAATATCGAATAGTTTTATTGAACATCTTTTACAACTTGTGAATGATCGACTTAATAACCCCTGATCCGCCTTCAAACTTCCATTTTGTGTAGTTCCGCCCATTGTTTTCTCGTTTAGGGTACACGCTTTTTATTTATTGTGGACCACATGCCGCTTTGCATGGAATGGCACAACTGAGTCACGTTGAAAGTTACATGACAACCAACGTATGAACACATTTGCGGATGTTTCCAAATTCAAAATGTTACCTTTTCATGTTTAAATGTGGAATTCTGCTTAAGCCAGTGCTAGGGAGCTTGACGGTAGTTTGCATTTGACAGTGCCGTCAAAGAACAGGCTCAATCAAACCGAGCCTACATTATTTTCAATTTTGCCGTGTTGGGCTTTCTTTAAAGATTTTTATTTTTTTATTTTGATAATCAGTATGGTCGGTTCAAATTTAAAATGCCCTGTATATTCAACGGATTTGTAAAAGAACTCAATTACTTTTAAAGAGCAACTTAAATAAATTTGTTTCAGGGTACATGGACGAAAACAATTATGGGAAAAACAGCACAAGTGTGTCTCGTGTTAATCTGCCAGTTCGGTAAGTCGGAACGTCATTTGCAGGTATACAAACGTCAATGATACGTTCTTGATCAAATTAACAATCAATATGTTCAAGGTTAGTTTGCTATTATTCTGTTGTAAATAATAATGCGAAATTTCCTTTGAGTAATTGTAATGTAAAGTATAAATAGTTTCTACTACAATGATATAATTGGCATTATTTGTGATGCAGAATATATGATCTAGGTAGTTTCGTAGCTACTTTTAGGCCATGTAGGCACGGGCCAATAAGTTTGTCAAGAAATTGACATTTTCAAAAGTCACAAAAATACAATATAAACAGGCTAGGGTGGGGTTGGTAGTGGGTTTAAGCCTTATAGTCGTGTACATGATTAACCATCCTCAGTTAAGTTTGCATCTAGGATTTTGTATTATCATCGGATATATCAATATTGTGTATATATTGTTTATCTAATATTTGTTTAATTCATGTTGATTAAGTTACATTCCAATCATTTTGAAATCATTTAGGTAAAGAAACCTAGAGGGAAATTATTTAAGTATCATATTGAATACAATAAATAGAGGTTCGGTACACGTTACAATAACCATTATTGCCTCATTGCTCTAAATGGATATTTAAAAGTCTGCAATTTACCAGTCGGAAAACAAAATTTAATTTTATCTGAAAATAGCGAAATTACGTATTTTGTAGGTATTTACTTATTTTAGTTGTAATTGATATGATAAAAAATCTAGATATTTAAAGTAAGATACTTAGGTAGAGACGTGATATAATTATGTGTTATAAACTAAATGGTACCAAGCATTTGTCAATAATTTTGAATTAATATTTTAATACTTTAACTCATTTTTGACATGTGTTGGTACAGACTCTCTATTTTATAATTTTTTGTAAGGAAGCTGTTCAATGCATGAAGGGGTGTACTGGTGGACACAAATATCTTTATGAAAAGCTTTCTAAGCAATTATGAGAAAATTCAAAAACTTCCGCTATACAAAACAATAACTATTTGTTTCAGGATTATCAAAACAGTTATGTCCAGAATGTACATGTTGCAAGAATGGATCAATTGCGTGTGATTCAAATAATACTTGTACAGAAGGATGTATAGCTGGCTATTATGGTGTGAAATGTACCGAGGACTGTCTGCAAAATTGTAAAACATGTGTAAATGATGACGGCTGCACAGAATGTGAACGTGGTTTTTACACTACAAAATGTAGTTTACAATGTGGAAAAGGGTGTCAAGACAAAACTTGTTTAATATCATCAGGACAATGTTCTTGTAAATCGGTTGATTTTGTCAATGATACATGTGATACTTGCTCGGGCAATAGGTATGGTGATGAATGTAACAACACTTGCTTGTCATAGTAACTGTGCGTCAGATACAGAATGTTCATGGTGTAAAAACAAGCTTCATTACGGATCATACTGTCAGTATAGCTGTTCGATTGGTTGTGTGGATGGAAAGTGTAATAAAGATTCTGGTAATTGTGCTAGCGGCTGCAAATCTGGTTTTACTGGGGTCAAATGTGATTCATGTTCACCTGGAATATACGGTTTAAATTGTGATTTAAATTGCGCAGAAAAGTGTTCTACTTGTATCTCGGAAACAAACTGTACAGAATGTAAATCCGGATTTTACGGCAAAACATGTTCACATTCCTGCCCATCTGGTTGTTATATATATTGTTCGCTAAATGGTCTATTCTTTGGATGCAAACCGGGATTTGTTGAGGAATTTTGTTACAATACATGTAAAAATAAAACTTTTTGTTACAATACATTTAAAAATAAAAATAAAAATTGTTCCATATCCTGTTATGATAAAGACAACAATTGCCACGGCTGTATTGAAGGATATGAAGGATCGACATGTGCTTTAGGTAAATATTCGTAGCAATAAATTTTATCCTCAAACCAAGGGATAAACAATACTTAAGTTGAAAATGCATTACTAGTATATAATTTTACAATAACTTTGTTCATTTTTAAACGTTAAAAGCTGTATTTTAAAAAAGTAAAAACATGCGTGCCATGCATAGGATCATTTGTAAAAATATTTATATAATAAGATATACTGATTTTTTCTCAATACTTTTTACTTAGTGTGCTTAAACTAAGAATAATTTATAGTTGGAAGTGACATGAATGTTAAGTTCGTTTTAGCTATCGATGGATCGGAAGAAAACATATTACAAGTAATTATTGTAGCATCTTCTGGTGCTGGTGTTGCTGTCATCATCCTACTGATAATTCTAGTAATTTGCCTTGTGAAACGACAAAGAAGGTTCGTTCTATATTATACTTGATTTAAGTTAATTTTTTGAAAGATATTTTTAATTGCATAAAATTAATCATGAGTTCTTTTATAAAGTTCACTGTCCGTTTAGAAGATTTTTTAAAGTTTTTTTAATGCTTTTAAATTGAAAGTCAATTAATAGAAACATGACCAGTATTGGAAAGAAATACCAGCTGAGTTTGCTGTTATTAGCAATTAAATGTATTTTAAGACATTTATGTATGCACCGCTCAAGCATTAAACATAATTTGGTTTTCAATTTACATCTCATTTCATATTTCAGAAGACAGTTATCAACTACTAGAAAATGTGTAGAAAATGAGTATGTACAGGATATGCAAAAGATAAATAAACAACATGACGCAGACGAATCAGGTCTGTTTACAGTATTATTTGATACATTTGTATAGTCGTGCATCATTCTAAAAATAAATGCATCTAATCTACTAATAAATAACATCATTACTAACAAATGCATGACGACACAGTCTAATTTAAATCAGTTCATTAATAACGCTTCGTTTTGTAGTCACCATTCGATCAGATACTCAGTATTTACTATTCATTCCTGAACGCAGAACAGTTTACATTATAACCGTTGGAAAACTAAACCCGTGTATGTGTGAAAAAGAATGGTGTTTTAGATAAATAACCATAGGTTAATTTTTTATTAACACATAATGATTTAATCTAATTCACAATACAAAGTCGATTCGAACTGAAAGACCGACACGCTGGTATAATCTAAAATATAAGAAAATCTAAACTTTAAGTCAAACTAAGTACAATACTACTTCATTTGTAAAATAATTCATGTAAAGTTAGCAACGTCTATTTTACTACATTTTACTCTTATTTCGTCTATTTCAGCTGATATTTACGCCCAGTCTTCCAAACCTATAGGGCAAGCTAGTGATGATGCTGCACATGGCGATGATAACAAGATACCTGCATTTGACAATGGTTTTACTATGGTTAACATAGGGACATCTGCCCATGAAAACAACAAGAGTTTTGAGGTATGTGACACTGCACTCGATAACAAATGTATCGAAATTTTAAGTGGCAACAATGACTATGCTGTGGTTAACAAAGGAAAGTCGGCTGCGAAGAAAAACGAAGGTATGGAGGAAATGTATGATACAACGCATGACAACAAAAAGAAGATACATCATTTAAATACTAATAATGAATACGCTGTACTCAGTTTAAGATCTGACAACGTCGCAGGATTTGGAAAAATAAAGGGAGCCGAAGCCGCTGAAGGAGACGATTTGTATGACACTGCAGAAGGGGGGAAACACAAAACTATGCCTCTTCCAAGCAATGATTATGCTGTGTTCAAGCGCAACAATGGTGATAAACATGAAGCTGTCAAACCAAATACACGAAACGACACAACAATTGGAGAAAAGAAAATGCGGCAAGTAAACAATGATTATGAATTTGAATGCGTAGACAGCGAATAATCATTGACAAATACAGTATGAAGTACAATGAAAAGTTATTTTGATCACTCTAATGATACGAATCAAATTTGATTTTAGGCAACATTAAACTAAATAATGCTTAGATTTAGAGGTTAATATTGCTCAAAAAGAGGATCAAGTATTTAATTGTGAATAATTCAGAACATCCATGAATAAATCTATGATTGATAATTTTTCTATCTTTAGTGAAGTAATATTTTTATTGAATGTATAAATTGCAAAAGAACACAAAATATAAGTAAATCAAGGTTTTTGATTATATATTTATAAAGGTTTCAATAAATGAACCTAAGGTATACTTGTACAAATACATATACAAACAATAAGACTGATATGTTCAATAGAATATCAAAAGAAACTTAGTAATGGCAATAAAATAGAGAAAATAAGAATCCCTAAAGAAAGCCAAACACGACAAAATTGAAAATGTTGCAGGCTCATCAAATCATCTTGTTAAATTTAATTTTGTTCAAGTTTGTATGTATAAAAACTGATCTTCAAGCTTATGCTACGTAACGAGAAACTAATATCACATTTCGTTTTGAGCATTTTATTTGTTTATACATTTTCTTAGTTTTTGATAAATGTTTGATATATAATATAGTTGGTTCATTCTAAAAACATCCACACCCTTCCTGCTACAAGTGCACGTTACAATGGATCCACATGCACGTTTTAATGGATCTGGTGTTAGGTTTTAGTCTACTACAACCATATAACGAGTAAAGTGCATGTTATCAAAGGTAAACATGTGGACATATATGCTACGTTTGCTTACCACTTATGAGAATTTATCTAAGGAACAGTGAATTCTACAATCGTTTTCGGACGCATATTTACGTGGTGCTTATGTGATGTTACTTAGTCAGGATAAGTAGTGCAACATTATTGTATAACATTTGTTGCTTTATTATGAAAGTAAAAGAGTATTTTTCCACATGTTATGGTTATAAAACAGGGTCTTTATCTTCGATTTGTTAATAACAATATGTCCTTTATTCAATTTGATATGAGATTATACAAATATAACATTTTAATCAACATGTTTTTAATGTTTTTCTAATTATGTCTTATTATGTATAAATTATTGTAAGAATAAATTAGTTTTGTAGTTCATGTAGTTAATTATTTAACATAAAAATTTACATCTATTTAAGAATGATTTACTTAATCACACCCCATTAGTTGTTTGTGTTCTTTAAACAAACATGTCAGCAGTTTCTTTCGAAAAAGGCATCTCTATTGTTCAGCGGGTAAACTAACATTAAAAAAATCATCTGTTGCCACAAACATCATTTTCAATACTATTGAAACACTGTCTTCAGTTTCAGTTGCGGATAAGTTGCGGATAAGCATCCGTATTGTTAAATAGTAAACTATCTCAACTACTACAAGCTATTTCTGTGATAAATATCATTATCAGAATCAGAAGCTTATTAAAATTTAGTGTTCACATAAACAGCTTCTGGTGGTGATATCTGCTGATTTGTAGAGATCTGACTGTATGATATCTCGTCACGTGAATTAAAATCTTCATATGCAACAGAAGAGCCGTCTTCATGTGTGATATCTGTATGAAATATAAAGAATATTTTATTCGTTTTTAATATATGACGTCATCTTTATCACGCAACTTATTTGTAAAGGGCGTCTTTACGTTATTTCTTAGCACCCGAATTAGGGTATATGATCAAATTAATTTATTGTCTCATTTAATTATTTATATGTAAGAATGACTTTAAAGATGCTATCCCATGGAAATAAACAAAAGTTTCATATTTTAAAATGAGTGAAAAACCATGTCTCAATTATATTCCTGAGTTTTATTTTAATTTAGATAAACAAAACGTTTTAATGAGTTTGTAATATACCACTGATATTATATTTACCAGGAGCTAAATTGTTTTCTTTTTTTCTTTTTTTTTCCAAAACTAAAAAAAAATTAAAAAATGGAAATATTTAAAAAAAAAGGCTTGTAGCAAAAAAAGATCTCAAAATTTTTTTTTAAGAATATAAAATGAAATTTATTATGAAGAGAAAAAAACCCATAACTGCAAAACAATAGCGGGCACTTTTAAAAATTTAAATACAAATTTGAAAAAAAAAATATAAAATTTATGTTACAAAACCTTCGCCTCAATGTAATTAAAGCAAACAAAGTTGTCATTGCAAACAATACCACCAGCGAGAAATGATCCAACTATAGAGCCTATCAGTGTCCCCACGCTAAAGCCTTCTTTGGTCTGTTATCATTTCTGATACATTTTTTTTGTGCAACAACCATAGTCACATAGTCTAATTGATTTACGATACACATCTGGCAATTCACATCTTTATCACGACATAATTTAGAACAATCAACACCGGTACTTTTCATCGTTACATGCAATGTTGCAAAAGTCTCCGAAAAAACCTGGTTTTACACTCAAGACAGCGTCATCAGCAAAGGAACAGTTTCCTTTACAACCAATCGGACAGGTATTTGTACATGTTTCTCCATAAAAGCCTGATTTACATTTTGTACAATTTGTTTCGAAAAGCATGCTGAACAATTTTCTGTGCAATTCAAATCAACAAAAGGGTCCG